GCGTGCGCGTGAGTGGGAGGGGCGGGGCGGGGCGGGCCCAGACGGGGGCACGCGCCCCGAAGGTCCTGCGCCTGAGCGGTACTTAGAGAAAGGGGGGCACCTTCCTGCTTCGCTCCTCCCACTTAGCCCCAGAGAGACTCTTCCCTCCTTAGACACAAATAGTCCCCCCTCCCCCCGTAGCTCTTAGTCCTTGAGAGAAAGGGGGACCACCGTAGGTGTTTGCAAGAGGTGTCCCATTCCGTCTTGGTTCCTGGCCAGGTCGGTTGTCATGGCAACCCTTTCCAACCTGGCGCCCCCACCCATTCTCCAATCGCTCCTCCTCTCCCCCTTTGTGTCTTGTGGAGCCCCAAACCGATCCTGTCTTGGTACCAGGAAGAGGTTGCTAAGGTAACCCAAGTCCCCGGTGGTCCTTCTGCTCCTACCCCCATCGGTTACCATGGCAACCTCCTTCACCTAGTGCTCAGGTAGAAAGGACCCCAGCCCCAAGGACACGGGATTCTTAAGGAAAACACCTCTTTCTCAACCTCTCTCTGGTAGCTACCCGGTTAGCCATTACCATGGTAACCGTCTCCCCTTCCCATGTGGGAGGTCCAAGGACCAAACCAACCAGGTGTTTTTATTTAGAGATGTTCTGGGGCAGTTGCTATGGTTACAAGGCCTGGACCATCTCTCCAGGGAGATGAGAAATTGGCAAGGCTAAGCTTTGCTTACTGTGCTAACAGGGAGCCCCCTACCCCCTTACAGTGACCCTAGGAACCAGCCCCCCCCAAAGGAGGGAACGTTTTAGGATTGTCTTTTGGAGGTGCAGTGTGCCTACAAAAGGTATTATCATGGTAACATTTTTTTTTTAGCCTTACCTTTTCCGGACACATCCATGAGAGAGGAATAGTTTTAGGTTACTGTGAAAACTCTCATCTCTCCCAAGTATCCCACCCCACTCCTGTTACGCCCTCTGTGGTACCCAGGTTTATGGGACTTCCAGAAAATGGGGTTCTCTGACCTTGTAGATGGCAGTACTGAGTGAGGGGAAGAAGAGATGGTGCTGTGTTGTACAAAGTTGGCTCATGCAGGGTTTTCTGGTTTTCTTTCCCTCAGCACAACAGCTGGACTGGGCTGTCACTGCCCTCCTGGAGCTCCCCCAGGCTGCCACCTAGGAGGTAAGAAGTCCCTCAGCTCCTGGGAAACTGCCCTTTCCTCACAGGCTTTCCCACATTGATTGCAGTTTCCTCTCTGCTGCAGAGGCTGGGGCCAGTTCAGAGTGATGCACAGAGCAGAGCATAGTTTCATGGGGGAATGAAGAGAGCAGGGAGAAACCGCTTAACCTCTTTCTCCATCCCTGCCCTCTTCTCTAGGCAGGCCCTGCTTCTCTTACTCAGGTCCCCACTGTGTTTCCCACCTCGTCTGTAAATTGGGCTTTGTCAGGTGTCTCAGATCTGCAGGACAATCACAGCCCAGTGCTCACCTCCTTCATCCTGGATCATCAGAACACAGGGTCAGGCTGGGGGGGGGGGAAGGTGTGGGGAGAGGGGAACACAACTAGTGGCTCATGCCTGTAAGCCTAGTTACTTAGGAGGCTGAGACCTGCAGGATCACTTTTCAAGGCTAGCTCAAACAGAAAAGTCCACAGGAATCTATCTCCAAAATAGCCAGAACAACAACAACAAAAGCAAACAATATGAGTTCAGTTCATCTTGTGCCATGCTCAAGCATGGCATATGCACCTGCCGAGTCAAGGTGCGGGGAGATTCACAGACTGAAATTGGCTGCCCAGGGGGCTGCAGGAGAGAGCGCTGTGTTGATTGGTTTAAAGCATGACTGTGGAAGCAGCTTCTGGAGCCCGCTGCTTCCTAGCTGTGTGACGTTGAGCAAGCGACTCCACCTGTCCCTGCCTGTTTCCCCATGCTTGTTTGTGTATGTAGTGTCTGTGGTGCTTGAAATGTAGTGCCCAGGGCCTCATGTATGCAAACATCCATTCTACCCTATGATGTGATCATACTATTAGGATTGAATGACTATGTGAAGTCCATAGAACCCAGCCTAGCACATCATAAGCTGCCACGAATGTTTTATCATCCTGACCCAGAGTGATGTAGAGCAGTCCAATTTTCAATATCACCATTCCAAAGCTGGGCATCACTGGTTTCTGCTGGCCCAGGCTGGCCTTCAATTCCTGGGCTCAAGTAATCCTCCTGACTCAGCTTCCCAAATAGCTGAAACTAAGGGTATGCGCTGCCATACCTGGTGTAAGTCACTCTTCTCTTTCTCTGTAGTGCTGAGGGATGGGACTCAGGGCCTTACTGAGCCATGACCGCTGCTCCTGAGCCATGCCTTCAGTTCAGGAGCCGCTCTTAAAGTACAGCTCACATTCTTAAGTGCTGTCCAAATGGAACTGAAGGAAGACTAGCAGCAGTGGATGGACCAAGGACTAGGAAGGCATTGTTGCCTCTCAGGGGAGACAAAAGAGGGAAGACCAAGGAATGGCTGACCTGAGTGGGCATTACAGATACACAGAAGCCCTCACCTTGGACACTGTATTTTTATTTTTTGATCAGTCGTGGGGCTTGAACTCTGGGCCTAGGCGCTATCCCTCAGCTCTTCAGCTCAAGGCTAACGCTCTACCACTTGAGCCACAGCACCACTTCCAGCTTTTTTCTTTTTGCTTATGTGGTGCTGAGGAATCAAACCCAGGGCCTCAGGCATGCAAGGCAAGCTCTCTACCACTGAGCCACCTTCCCAGCCCCCCCACTTCTGGTTTTCTAGTGGTTAATTGGAGATTAAGAGTCTCACAGACTTTCCTGCCCAGGCTGGCTTTGAACCATGATCCTCAAATCTTAGCCTTCTGAGCTAGGATTACAAGAGTGAGCCACTGACACCTGGCTGGACACTGCATTTTTAAATTGTAGTTTTGGGTTGTTTCATTTTTGGAGACAAGGTCTCACTAGGCAGTTCAGGCTATCCTGGAATGCTTGATCACGCTGCCTTAGCCCTCTGAATGCTGGGATTACATATGTGCATCAGTGTGCCCAGCTCTGTGTGTTGGGGACACAGTGTAGATGGAGGAGTTCTTCCCTCCCAGAGTGCACAGGCTGGTAGGACAAGCGGACTCATTAACCAGTGATGAACCAGTATGGGCAGGGCTGGGATGAGGAGAAGGGAGAGGAGAGTTGCTGCAGGAGTGTGACAAGCAGTCTTGATAAGTCAGAGAAGCCTTCCTGGAGGAAGGAGTGGCCAGCAGAAGTGGAAGTTCTCTAGGAGAAAGAAGTCTAGAAGAAGGGATGTTGGAGAGGAGATCCTTCTAGTTAATGCTCCACCACTTGAGCCACAAGCCCCACTTCCAGCTTTTCTGGTGCTTAATTAGAGCTAAGAATCTCATAGACTTTCCTGCCCAGGCTGGCTTTGAAAAAGCCTCTAAAAAACTTTCTTCAGGGGCTGGGGTATGGTTTTGCAATAGAGCTTGCATAGTTTGTGCAAGGGCCCCAGATTTGGCCTCTGCACCAGAGAGGGAGGGAGGGAGGGAGAAGATAGAGCTAGAAAGCAAGCGAGCAAGCAAGAATGAATGAATCTTGGTGAAATTGCGCCAAACCTCAGAAGTTGTGATGTGTGATGGACAGGGAGACAGCGCCATCTGGTGTTTGCTTGGGAGTGTGGCCCATGATTAGAGACCAGCCTCTTTAAATGAGATGGCCTACGTTGTGGTCTTTTTATTTATTTATAATTTTTTTTTTTGGTCAGTCATGGGGCATGGACTCTAGACCTGGGCGCTGTCCCTCAGCTCTTCAGCTCAAGGCGAGCACACCACCGCTTGAGCCACTTGGTTTTCTGGTAGTTAATTGGAGATGCGTCTCACAGACATCCCTGTCCGGGCTAGCTTTGAACCGCGATCCTCAGATCTCAGCCTCAGTAGCTAGGATAACAGGCGTCTGCCACCGGTGCCCGGCTTGTTGTAGTCTTTTTAGAAGTAAGGTCTCAGGATGGCCTTGGAATTCTCGATCCTCCCACCTCAGCCTTAAGATGCTTAAGTGTGCAAGGGGGCTGGGGTGGGGTGGCGGGACTGGTGACTCACACCTGTAATCCTGGCTACTCAGAATCTTCCAGAGTCCCCAATTAGCAAAATAATACCTGCCTTGGTAGACTATACAGCCCTGAGTTCAAGACCCAGGACTGGCAAAAAAAAAAAAAATGGGCGGGAAAGCTGGGGTTCCCCCCACATACACACACCCTCCCCGCTTTCCTCTCCAGGACGCCAGAGCCCCGGCTGCCGGCCCCATGCGGCTCCCGCGCTACTGGGCTGTGATGGCCGCCGCCATCACCCTGAACCTCCTGGTCTTCTTCTACGTCTCCTGGCTGCAGCACCAGCCCCGGAACCCCCGGGCCCGGGGCCCCCGCCGCGCAGCCGCCGCCGGCCCCCGGGTCACCGTGCTGG